TTAGTAAGTATGAGTAAGCTATTAGTTAACTTTAAAGATTTCTAATTTAGTTTTTTTCCTAAATTACATTGGGGAAGGTAAAAAGCAACTCACGAGTGAATAGGTACTTAAAGGACTAGTAGCTGAAGGTCCCGAAGATCCATTGATTTTTCAGGCAGAGGTGCATTTTTATCGTAATTGACGTGCAACAAACTACTGGTTTTGATTTAGGCCCAGCTCTGTTATGGGATCAATCAAGAATTCTTATCTGATAACGATATACGAAAACATCGCTTTTCTCCCAGCCTCATTATATTGACGGGCAAAGGCTTTCGACACCCCCTTCTACTAAAAAGAGTTTATCAATTTGGTCGTTGGAACTGTTTTACTTGTCTAGCCGTTTTTTTTCGTCCATGGAAGCGAGAAAATCGGAATTACATGAAAATGTGACCAAATCAGATATTGATGAACGATCGGTTCAAAGCAAACGCACTGATGCACGTAATCGCTTCTTTTTATGTTGCTTCTCTTTGTTCCACGCAGTATTTTTGCATTTTTAATATTTAAACAGTCGTAGAATACCCTTACAACTTGATTGTCTCAGGAAAATGTTCGAAGAGGTATGGTGAAGAAATGGTTTAAATTTGTTAGTTTTCTTCCTGCTCGGGAAAATCAGTTACAGTTTCCGCTAACAAGATTCAAATTAAGATATGAATAGTGTTAAGCTATGTTTAAGATTTTGCGTAAATCAAGTTACTTGCTTTGAAATTAATATTTAGGAACTTTGACGAAAGATCTCCAAGGCTAGCATGAAGGGTTTTTTTTGTATTGTCATCTCAAAAATGCTAAGGAAATAGGACTATGCAGTTCCAGTTCAGTAAAAAAAAGTGCGCTGAAGAATAATTTAACAAAGATTTCTTTTTTTGAAATTTTGGAGTTTGAAGCGAGACCCTTAAAAATGAGACCGGGAAATTTGAAAGCCCACAAAATGGTCGTTCAAATCGAAAAAAACCTTTTTTACCAAAAGAATAATAAGTTTTCCTGCTTCTGTGGTACCTCTTAATTCTCACCTTCTTTGATACTCCATACTTGCTTATTAGTTCTGACAAAATCACTACAAGCTGCTCATAGTACTAATAAGTATTCAAACTTCTATATTAAAATTCATAAGCACTGGGGCGTTTTTTTTTCAAGTTTCCATGCAGTCAAACCCTTGGGTCTGAAAGTTTCACGTTTTTTTCAGAAATTTCCAAAGTTTTTCTATTTTACAGTAAGTTTTCTAGTCAAGTCAAACGCACAATTTTGTGTGTCGATCTGTGATGTGGAAAATAGACACACATCTCTGCGTACTTTCCGCCTATGATCGTACCCAACGAGCTGATAGATTTCGTGTAGCGATGAAAAATGACATTGACATGTATGAAAATACCTGTATAGGTCAAAAGGTATGTTACTTTACCTCTAAAGGTTACTCAGCGTACATAAGGTATTGTTTTCAGAGCAATGAAACACTTTCATTTCACTCAGACTGGGATTTGGTTCGTACAACTATTGCAGTAGTAGAAAAATGGAACACAACTCCACAACCAATAATCAAGTTGGTGGAGCTGATTTTTGAAATTTCTCTTTAAAATTGAAATTTTAACCCGCCTGCACCCTTCGCGTTTTCTCAGTAACTCCAATTCTTTTAGGAAAAAGCCAAGGCCAACGCTGGAAGATGCACCATTGCGGAGAATTCGACAACCAGTAGCACTAGCGAAGTGAGTTGTGCCA